CAGCTGAAAACTGTCACTAAGAAAACCTTCAGCACACAAACTGTTTGTGAGAAAAAATGTCAGCTGAAAACTATCACTAAGAAAACCTTCAGCACACAAACTATTCATGAGAAAAAAAAACGTCAGCTGAAAATTGTCACTAAGAAAACCGTCAGCTGAAAACTGTCACTATATATCCGAAGCTAAAACCGGCTCTGATACCATTTGTTAACGTAAAATCAAGAATCATTCAAGCCAAGTACGAAGACACAAGACACTCATATAACGTGGTTCACCTTCAAGGGCTACGTCCACGGTTGGAGCACTGAGCAGGTTTACTGACAAGTGAATACACAATATTTCAGCTCCTCCAAGAAGCCTTGGCTTTGGGGGTATATTTATACCCAAAGCCAGCGACACACATAACTATAAATAACTAGAGCCTGAGGTTACTCCTTAACCGGAGTTAACCTCAACATTATCTTGAGTTCAATGTGACTTCCAATTTAAATTTTTCAACTTTAAAAAGTTGTAAAGATATCAAAATTTTGTGTTAGGAATAATACCACATAATTTTTGATTAATAGTCAATGAAAAACATATTGTATATTTTCCTTGAGACTTTTGTTGAAGATTTTTAAACGTCATTGTGTACATACTCAAATGATTGTTTAGAATTGAAATTTTCAACAACAAAACCTTGCTTATGATGCTTGTCCATAACACAAAATTCACAAAATTCTAAGTCAACTTGATCTATGCGCGGTCATAAATTTCAATTGCTAAGGAGTGTCAAATATCTATTCGTCATATGTGTTAGCATAGAATCACGTACATAAGTCATATGAGCTTGACTATATTATAATTGACTTCAACACACTCCCTTTAGCATGCATAGATTATTGTGTTTGCTATTGATTTCTTAACGTAAATCTATCACGTAATTTCAGCTCAAACATTTCATGTTCAAAGTTTCATTTTAGGCTTTATGAATCTAACATTATAAGAAAGATCAATTTGTTTTTCATATCATGTATAAATATTACTTGAATGTTTGTTAAACTCCATCAAATGTTAAATCTTAACAAATTCAATATTTTACTAATATATAATGATTATTTTCATAAATATTTAATTGCTTGATATGAAAAAGGACTGAAAAAGTTTCTAATATTGTAAATGTGTTAAACACAAGCATTATTTATAATTCATACATAGTCAAAATCATGTAATGAGTTGCATATCTTTGACAATTTAATCTATCATTGAACTAGACATACTTTTTGAAATTAAACTCTTGATTACACTTGCTAAATGAGAATCAACATCTTTGATCTTCGAGTCATAGTTCTTCTTGACGTGATTGTTCTTGGCACAATTTTGAAAAATTATCATTCTTTTTTCTTAAGATTTATAACTAGATATCATCCTTGTTAATTCATGATTTGTCATTTCATTTCCAATAGAATACATTAAAATCTATCCTGTTAAAATTCAGCTATGCTTTTCAAACATGCTCATACATACAATATGTAACAAGAATCACACACCAATATATGTGGTTCACCTTCACATGAGTCTAAGTCCACGGTCGAGATATAAATTTCATTGAAGCAAAACTGTTACGTCATGACTCCATAGCCAAGCTCTTCACTATACTTTTCCGTAGATGTACATCAGAGACCAAATTGTAAGTACTAGGAATAAGTTTTTCAAACTCTAATTAAAATCCAAGCCTAACAAACCTAACTAGAGTACAAGCCTAAACACATTTAGATAAACTTCAGTTAACAAGACGTAGATTAATTTTACATATCATATATGACTGATATCAAATCACATTTAATGTTGTATGGGAAGAAGAGTATGGAGTATATAACATTATCTTGTGTTGTACTTTATCTATCAAGAAAAAATTTACAATTCTGTTGTAAGTGATTGTTTGTCTTTGAAGATGAAACAAAAACAATTTAAAACAAACAACACATGTGATCATAAATGATAAGATACTGGTAGTAAACTCAAGAAATGATGAGCATTTCTTTCTTCATTAATTTAATCTTCAAGATAATGAATAAATGATAGAATACAGATAACAAGTTCAAGATGAGTATAATTACTTTCTACACTTATCTACTCTACAAGATGATGAAAATCAAAGACAAGATCAAAGTTATTAATATGATAATGTATCCTTGAGGCAAAAACTTTCACCTTGAAGTTCATTAGTTTCAAAATGTCAAACAACATGTTTGACTATTCTTTGGGATGAAAACTTTGTTCAAGAGACTCAAATAGCAAAGTATATTATTCATAATCATTTACTAGTTTTAGATTCTAGACCTATAGACTTCAGCTTGATTTTCATTTGTGTAGGGAAACCAATTGCCTAGATTTCTTGATCTAGTGGTAAAAGAACTTCCAAAAAGTTACACAATTGTTCAAGAGCAATCAAAGAAGGAAAATATCTTTCGCTGAAACTATTCCATGCATCTGAAAACTATTTCATAACCAAATAACATCCTCGGAGCCTTCATGAACGTGCCACACCTTCGTCATTCTAACGTTTTGTAATGTTAGATTTTTAGATGTTAGATGTCATGACTTTGAATAATATGTTCGCACCTGACTACTGATCCTAACCTCTGCAATAAGCTAATAAACGACTATCAAGTGAGATGTGTTTGCCACCCTCCTACCTTGCTTCGCATTCTCAAACCCGCAGATCTGATACAGATGATAAGCAACTGGAGGTCTGGACGCGACATCATTGTATTTCATTCGAAGCACAAACAACCGGAAGCTACATTGAAACCCTTCCTCTCCATGTGTTCTTGGTTTGAAATACTTTTTTCATCCGCTCGTCTGATGAATGAGGTTCAAATTGATATTCTCATCTAAATTTTTTCAACTGTTACCACAAGAGCACCATCAATACCAAGCACAAATCTTGTCTCAAGCACAAGGAATGTGGTAGGAATTTCGGGGCCATCAATTTTTTGTACGTCTTAGACATGTAACCAAGAATTTGAGGAAAATTTTTACCATCAATTTAATTTTCACTACCCACAATAAGAACACCAAAAAATAAATAAATAAACTAGAAATAAATGAAAGAAATAAATTGATTGTTATTCTTTGGATTTCAATTTTCATCTTTTGCATACACGGCTGCTGTCAATTCTGAAAATCCATTGATCTTGTCCGCCCAACTATAAAAGAATCGATCAAAGGAAAAATTACTTCATAGAAGCCATGGAAAATTCAAAACAAACTTGATGGGATATCTCGATTGCCATGCAGCACACCGTGAGACATGTTTCAATAAAAGTTTTTATAACTCAATAATTTGCACTATAGTGTGGGGAGTGACTGCCAATATCGGTTAGATGTACTTTCACGAAAGAGGGTATTTTGACGAGTTGTTTGCAACCATGTCTTAGGCTTTATGTTCACGCCTGAGAAAGCGACGGTCACTTAATCATAAAACTATCGATTTCACTTCATAGTCTATACAGCAATTTTCAAATCTTCTTTGTGAATCTGGTAATAAAGAGTACTTTGCACTGATGGCAACAACTTCTAGAACATAAAAAGTGTAGCGCAGCAAGTAGACCGGAGAAGAAATCACATTTATACGAATAGATGACAACAAAGAATTTTCTCAACTATCAGGATATAACAATTGCAATTGTGACGTTTTACAAAAAAAACCTAGATCCAACTTAGCGGACAAAAATAAATGTTTGATTTTGCCGCTGCGAATAGCTTCAAAGGAAGGTGTACACAGTAATTCCGTCATGAGGTTGATGTACTCCCCATGGTATTCTTCAAGAGTTTGTAATACATCTTGAATCCTGAAGCATCATAAGTCCAAATTTTATTGGAACATGGATAACGGTGAAACATCAAGTGGTCTCATCAAGTAAAATGAAACCGGTTGGGTCTTATCAAGTGTGTCATGTTTTGCATGGATCCCTCTAAGTAATTTTCTGGGAGTCAAATCTCAAGTTTTGTGATTTTTTCCTCATCATTGAATCAAAATTGATTGACTATGTAACATTTTTTTGTACGAAAGCTCAAGAATGAAATTCAGGCCATGAGATGGATCAAAGGTACCTTTGCACTAGCGGCACGGTGTATATGAAATCTCTTAACATAGCAATTGTAGAATCGAGAAATGAATTTTCACAAAACAAACAAAAGACAAGAATATGCGCAAACACATTATATTGACACAAGTTACGTGGTTCCATATTGTTGGGTTACGTCCACACCAACCTTAAAGTTCTACGTATCTTATAAATGTTCAAATTATATATTATAGTGTTATATATATTTATTTCTCACACTACATTTTGCGCTTGGAGAAATTTATCAGTTAGTGAAATTTACACTCATCAAATGCTGGTTGAAAACTATTTCCATTTATATAGCTAGATATGATTCAAAATGAGAAATTTCATTTGGTCAAGTATGTGTTTGATCCATTTCATTATAAATAAGTAAATGTAGACTTTGCTATTCACTTAGGTTCTAGTAATAAGTTTTGAATGCTAACATATTATATGCTCACATGATTAGAACTTGGAAGTTAAGTATAAATATTTTTCCAGAAATTATATTCATGTTTTCAACAATATCAACATGAAAATGTAATCAATCAATCTAATTGATATTTTCGCTATTTATTTATTATATATAGGTAAATTATTTTGTAAAAGGAAAGTTTTTATCATAGAATTTATAATTATACAAAAGAGATGATATATAGAAAGTAAAATTTAAATTGGGTCTCGTCCCAAACCAAATTTATGGTGACAAATCATATTAATGCTCCACAGCAACATAATCCATCTTTATTCAATCAATAAGTTCAAAGATGGTATGTCGATCAATCGATTGGCATGCGCTGCTTGGGCATCGTTAACCTGCACTCCCTTATATCCTCTGGTGACCTTGTCTCCCCTTCTCTGACACAAGTCTGAATTATTTATTACTCGTTTTTCCCATTCTGGTCTCTGGCGTCCTAGCCTTGTGCTGCATCTCCCTTTTGAAAACTCACGCCCTCTCCCATACACGAAGAACTAGAACAAGTCTGATGATTCCAATAGATGCAGTCCCTCGCGAGTCACGTGGCAAGGCAGTCAAATTCGCTGAATTTGAGTCAAGAGGGAAATTGAGAAAGCTGCCGCCTTATAGGAGAGCAAAGTGCATGACGAACATACTCAGACCTGGACAGGACGGCGAGCTGAAGACGTTTCAGACTCAGAAGTTTAATTGGAAGATCTAGCGCCGAGACCAATCACCGCTCCTGCGCAGAGCAGATTAGAAGCTGGTCATGTCTGTCGAGCTGGAGTGGAGGCAAGGAACGCTGGAATCTACTGTCAGGGTCCAATTCGGATCCGTTCGAAAGATTCCTCGAAATGAGAAATCTTACAGATCTGTCTTTCAGCAATGGCACAAGGAAAGATATATGCACAGTTGAGGGAAAGGATTGCAGAGCTCCAGAGCGCGAGCGATGCTCGATTTACATCGTGAGGCAAACCCTTTGCTTCTTCCGTTTTGACAGCGGGAGCAGGAAAACGTCATCGAAGCAAGTGCACGTCCTCACAGAAGTTGGCCCTGGCATGAAAAACAGCTCATCCAGTCTGGGATGCAACTATCGGTAATCCTCAAATCCTTCTCTTCTCGCATTCTCTATTCGGAATAAAAACCTCAAATAAGATCAAAGATTGTGACGTTCCGGGACAATCGCACCGATTGTCCAACTGTTTGTAGAATTCTATCAAATTAATCCATCAATCCATCTCTCTCGCTTTGGTGGCAGGTACAGGTTGATGGCATTTGGGACAACACTCGCCATTCCTAATGGGCTCAGCAGCTCTGGAACAAAATCCGTGATGACAGGCAGCACAAGCGTGATGGAGCGGTGGCGCTGCCACCACAGCTTTAGGACATGTCGCTCTCTCTTGCCACCCAACGCAATGATTGCAGCAACAACCTCGTGGCGCAGCAGCCGCTGCTGCGGTCGCTGTCAGACACCTGCACGGAGACGGTCTCCTCTGAGTGGCAGCAGCAGCCGCTGGGCAAGAGAAGGGTCGGGCAGCGATGGGGGCGCGATCATGGTAGAAGGATGAATCAGAAGAAATCACTCTCCGGACGGGGCTGGCTCTCGGAGTTTCTTCGGGGGTCAGAGGGAATTCCTCCCGTCTGGTCTGGCATGCAATGTCGAGCTTTTCCGTCCAGGAAGGGTCTCGCCAAGGAGGAGGAGCGAGGGGGTCAGTGTGGTGGTACCTTCTGGTGCTGGCGGATGGAATTTTGCTGCCAGTGCTGCATCTACTGGGCGATTTGCGAGGCGACAGCCTCCTCTGCTGTTGGGTTCTGCGGAGGGACCGAACCTTGGACGATCTGGGCGGGCTTCTGCTGCTGCTGGAAGGGTGCGATTCTCCTCTCCTCGGGCACACATCTCTCGATCTGGAGACCTCGGACCTCGGCCGCAAGGGCCCCAGAGCGCACGCCGAACTGTTGGGACGGCTCCACTCGCGGTCTCGGCCTCGTTCTCGCTCTCGCGTGGACGATGTGTGAGGCCGTCTGAGCAATTGCAGAGGGTTCCATAGAGAATGGTCGACTTTGGGCACGGGAGGTGGATGCTTTCTACTATCGTGTTGATCTGAACCACCAGAGGAAGAAAGGCCTCGAGAAGAGCGGGGACGACGAGGAGCAGATGCATCGGGATCCTGATAAGCTGATTCACGATGGCAGGCACAGTTGGGGCATTGACATGCTGACGAAGGAGAAGACTGACGCTGAAGGATGGAATCCTCGTAGCCTTCGGCGATGCTTACTGTCCCGTCAGTTTTCCAGCGACCCCGGTCACCGCGATTTCGATGGTTGTGATTGTGATTTTGATGATTGTGATCGTCGTCGAAGAAATCCGATTCCTGAGAAGAAGGCGATGCCGGGGAGGGAGCCCTTCTGGGCTCGTGTCGCCGTTGAACGTAAGAGTTGGGAATGTTGGAGTGCGAACGCAAGGCGAAATCGTAGCAGGGATTCGTCATCTGCCCTGCCGAACTTCCTCACTCGTCTGCTGCAAGTCCATTCCTCTCCTCGTCCTTGTCATTCGTATCTTCAGGTCGATCCCCTTCCTCCTCCTCCTCTGCCTCCATCGGCTCGAGGGTAGTAAGCTCCACCTCTAGAGCCCAAGCCCCTGCGCTGCCCACCTAAACGCTGCGACCTTTCCTGACGGTCCAATGATCCAGAATCGAACTTTTATAAGTATGTTTCTCCACGAGGACCGGAAACGCAATGAAGGCAATCTTCGGACATTCACCGCAGCCAACTGAAGCCAGGGTGAAATTTGTCGAGAAAGCTGCTGGGGTTTGTGATTAATCGTCTTTGCTGTGTGGAGATGGTGTCCTTTCATGAAGCGAGCCTTGCGATCTGGCGTTATTGCCTAGGTTTATGAATACGGTCTGTATCCCTCTCTGTGAATCCTCATCTCCCTTCTGACATCTTCTAGTTTGGCGAAGATATGTAACACGCTGAACGAGAGAGACTGGGAGCTTTCGTCACCTAGGCACACAGACTTTGTACACCGGCTCCAGCTCAGGGTGACAAGTTAAGAACCTCTCCATGCTTCCGTACAAGGCGAAGCTGGAAATCAGTACCGAAGACACAGTCACTGTGGAAACATCTTCATTACGAATTGCTATTGTACTCATTCACATCTCTGCATCCCGTGCACTCAGAACTGCACTCAAGGCTTTCTCGAAGACGCAACACAATCCCAAAGTTGTTTGCATGTATCACATTATGGCACTGCATTCTTCCAAGATCCTTCACTACCCAGTTTTCTTTCCCCTTTTTTTCCTTCTTTCCAGATATATGACTTAATTCCGTTCGACCTGTATTGAGTTGCTAGGAGGATGGTAAACTCAATACATAGAAAGAATGGATCTAAGTTATATATACATCGAAGACGCTCTATACAAATACATACTCTATCCTCAGGAAAGCTGCTGGGCGATGAACAAGGTACATGCCCGATGATCAGGGGCTCTAACGACAGCTGTTGCTCTTGTTCAATGTAGGTCAAAGTTCTCCCAAATTGCTGAGAAAAGTTGGTGCAGTGTTTATCGCAATTTTCGTCCAACCGAACGCTCTTCTCCCCATCGTAGTTTGTGCTTGTTAGTGACCGTCGAGTCTGTATCGCCGTCCGCCTCTGCTGCAGCTGCTGCTGATGTCTTCAGCTGTGCCTTTTTCTTTGAATTCACGTACTTGGTCTTAGTTTTCAAATCTTTGTGAATAGCGTCGTAACGTTGGCGGAGGTCAAGTATTATCTCCTCCGTTGCCTCTGCGTCGTCTTTCAGATTCTCCAGGTCGTCCAGCAGAAGTGGGTCCGAAATATTCACCATGCTTTTCTGCAGGTTGTCCCCTCATATCCCCATCGAAGTGATGATTTCATCCCAACTATGACTCATAATTTCCAGTTCATGCCATGATCACTAATGCAGCTGCTAATACAGCTCGAATTGGCTGTTATAATACCATTCATTCGAACAGTTGAAGCCATCAACGGACGTTGACAACACACTGGTGAAGCCTAATCCTCACCACACACGTGGCTAATAGTGGACCTTCATGAGGCTGCTACATTTGAGAAAGGTTATTGCAAGTGTCAAGAACCTTGCAATCTGAATCGCTCACCCTAGAATGCAAGGCCTGGTATGAAGACATGAGTCGGTGTAAAAAGGGTACAGCTATACCTGCAGACGGGACTTCTTCTGCGAAATGTGTTCGCATCGGGACTTCAGATTATGCAGGTCAATTCGTCCTTGGTGCAGACCTTTCTCCACCTCATCCAATCTATCGGAAACGATCTGCATCATGAGAACTTCTTTGCCAGACATGAGTGACCACTCCTACTTGGATTATCTGCTTAACTGACAAATTTGCTTTGATGTCTCAAAGAATAGACTTCGGTAGCGTTAGTACAATTTTCAAGCTTCTAGCAGGAGAGCGAAGAAGAAGCTCTCATCGACTCGGGCCTCACTGACCAGGTTTCGCAAGTTCCAAAGCTCCAAGATCCTGAGTAGGTAATACCATCTCTGAAGATTCTGGAGATGTGAAAAGTGCAAAAACAAGATCCAAGCTGTGAAAACAATCGATGGCAGAGAGACAAGCCTACCTTGGTATCTTTCTCTACGAACTGGAGTTTTTCTCGAACATGCGACAATGCGTGAACCGTGGATGTTCTCTTCTTTCGCATAATGACTCTCTCCTCGTTTTTCGCGTGAATCTGATCAACATCAAACTCCCTTCTTCCTTAAAATATTCATAATTTCTTTGCGTACAGTAACTTCGTAGTTCTGATGAGATGTAAAGCTCTTGCCTATTTACGGCATCGTTGAGACGGAACAACCATTTTGCGGGTTAAGTCACTATGTGTACGACAGGCGGGATCATGCTTCGAATTGAGAAGAGAAACAAACCTTCTCTGCCAAAGATTCATTCTCCATTTTCAACTGTTCATAATCAACGAGGTGGAGACCTTCAGGCAGCTGATCTTTCTTTTTCCTGGCTTGTTCCAGTTTATGCAGATGTGCCAGCAGCTGACGTTGCACGATGCGACACTTCTCCATCTCCAACGTTGCATGCTTATTTCTTTCTTGTAACTGGTTCCATCATGGTACGAGCACAGTTGCAGTAAGAGATTTTTTGTTATTTCTTACGTCTTATCTGTCCACGATCCAATTGCGTTTTCTTCATGTTTCTACTTAAGACCGAAGTAGATATGTTTGCTCCTTCAACAAACATGTTGATACAAAAAAGCCAGACATTCCAAGAGGTATCGTAACCTCTTCATGTAGCGCAAGCAACCGGGAAGTTGGACTCTTTTCAGTTCCACTTGATCACAACCATTCTTTTATTCATTCAAACACTCGATTGTTTTTTGCTGCACCACTGTGCGACACTCTAATTTTCTGAGGCGACAATTTCCTAAAATATATTATGGAACAGTATAAATAATAAAGATACCTTGGACAGAGACAAAAGGCAAAGTATGACTTCAGTATGATACGGTGGTCCACCGATTTCTACCATACGGGTTTGTACAACCTCACTATCTAAACTGGGTGCTCTCTTTCTCTTCTTGGACACTCCTCTGCTTAAACTTGTGTTTCCCAGAAAATATGCACGCAAAGTGGTTGCCAAGTTAAAGATCCAGTGAAAGAAATTACCTGATTCAGTACAACTTCAGACAGGATTTGCCCTGAGACACTATGTTGCGCCTCCCGAGCCACCTGTGATGCAATTATCCCTCATTCAGTAACAAGTGTGGTGAAGATTCTTTCACCTGGAGAGAGCAGATTGAGTGCCAAATGTGGGGTCGTAAACTTGGTTTAACCGGCGGTGAAATGTGTAGAACTAGAGCTATTTATTGGAAGGTATTGATTCAGTAGATAGCAAGATGTAGTGACGGTAGATGATGACAGGAGCATATTACCGTCGCAGACGATACAAATGTGCAGATGGTGAAGGAGCTAGATTTCTCAGTAGAGCATCTGGCCCACCTTGAAGTACATGTGCAAACACAATAATCAACCTCACATGTTTCAAGGTAGTAATCCTGAAGAGAAATACTGAAGATCAATGAGGCACCTTCAACAGGTCCGACAAGAAATTTTCTTGAGCCTCACGAGCTTCTATTTGCGTCTTTTGCAACAGATCGTGTTGTCTGTCAATCTCATCACGATAGTGTTGCCTGATCTGCTTCAGCTCCTCCTTTAGCAGCAACCATTTTGCCAAATTCTGAAGCCCAAAATGGAAATCATACACCTCATATTGCGGATGCTTACAGAGATGGACAAACAACAACCGGAAGATGACGATATACAGCCAACAGTGTAGCCAACAAAACATGTACGGCCAACGACTTAATCCTTGACCGTCAAGCCCTACAACAACGGAAGGAATCAACTTTCCTTCCTGTCAAGAATTGCAAACAACACACTTCGATCGAATGCACGCAACGAATGAAACACAAAGTCCAGACACACGTCTCAAAAGCAAGATCCTTGAAATACGCAGAGAATAATCGAGAAGCTTCTAAAAGGACCTCCTCATTTACTCTCCGAGAACTCCACACCTAGCTTGTCTCTTGGTGCAAGTGCCGAACGGCAGCATCTACGGCGAAACATAGGTCCAGGAATACCCAGGGACTTGCTTGTAGAACATCATATGTGCTGTCATCATGGTATGTGGCAGCAACAAATGATGTTCTAGGATCGGAGTGTTGGTCTGTCGGGCGATTTACAAGAGGAATGTCCGGCTTCTGTTTTGTCTTCAGAGTGAAAATTCACCTGTCTAACCGTATATAGATTAGTCTTTCCTCCAGATATGCCATTCAGTTGTGTTGTGCAGATTTCAACCGACGATTAATGGCTGGTCTTTACAGTGAGGACTTTTTGCAATCTGTAACGAATGATGTATTTAAGTATCCAATAGAGCATAGGAAAGTCAGAAGGAGGGTGAGGTGAGGTGACTGACTGATAGAAGAAGTCCTGTCCTTCCAACATATCTGCATCCACAATCGATCGTCTTCTTCCAAGAGCACTGAGAACTCGGGAATGGAGCTCTGCATTGTCCATTTTCAGAGCTTCCAGCGTTTCTTCAGCCTCCTGAAGCAAGACCCAAGATGCCGGAAGCGATTCGACAATGCCAGAAAGGAATATGTCAATTAGCAGTACAATGCCATTTAGTTCAGAAGTGTTCTATGAATTTTAGTTCCTCTCATCTCTTGCCGCATGAGGGAATCTTAGGGGAAGATTTATGACCCTGATGGCGATGGTAATTGCAAGGTCTCCATCTGATTCTTCATACGCCTGCACAAATACCGTCGTTACATCAGCACGATTGATAAACCTTAATGCCTGCAGTCATGATTTTATTATCCAGAAACGTTGGCTCAGTTATTGAACAAAGCGCTAACATCCGGAGCCACCCTCAGGGTTGTAGTCAGTAGATCCTCGACAAGTTGTGGATCGGGCTTCTTTCTTAGCCTACAGCAAGGAAGAAGCGATCATCGTGACGTTCACATATGTCAAAGGAGTACTGAGACTAAATCATCTTGGGATGGCTCTGAGTTGAATTCTCACGAGCAGATGAAAGGAACTATGAATGTGTCTGATCCTGCCCAACAAGGCGAGGTAGCCCTGTCCGCGGCGTAGAAATAATTATTTCTTTCAAGAATTAATTAATTTTTGAGTCGTCTTCCTGGTCGACCCGACAGATGAAGTCGATCGGATTTCCTGAAGAGAAACGCTCCCACGAGCATACAAGTTCTGTACAAATGCGACGATCTTACCTATAGGGTCGACAATCGAAGAGCATCGACGACATCATGTAGACTTTGATCATGCTGCCTGGGTTGGGGTACCTGTCCTTCCTGGATGGAAAATTCGACTGTGCACTTGTCACCATCTGGACCGACCTCCAAGTTCAGAGTGACATGTTCCTGTTGACATTAGACACAAATGAGTAAGCCGGGTTGAAATAACGGCTGCAGTAGCCCCGGTTGTCACCTCCGGGTGACAAAGACAGTCCTGAGATGAAACTTGCGATACATCGCAAGGAATTCATTAGAACCCAGTGCAAGATAATGTCGGACAACCGACAGATGCTTGCTGCTGCTGAGAAGGAATGATTTTAAAAGAATCATTTCAATAGTCCAGGAAACACATCACATTGTGAGCCACGAACAAGTAGGGTATAAGGAGACAGATCTAGCGCAGAAGGAAGATAGATGATGCGATGGATTTCAACTTGCGAAGGGAGAACGACCGAGGACGCCATCTGCGCCGGAGCTTCTCAAATGATGTGCGATTTATCTAAATCTCACGAGGATGACTAGAAAAGAAAACTCACGATCGGCTTCTCCGCATTTTCATCGTCTGCCAAGTCATCGGGGTCCGGAGGCGTAGGATTGCTATCCGAAGATATCGTAGACGTGGGGGAATCATCCCCTTCCTCGATCGGAGAAAACAACATCGTCCCCAACTCCGAGCGAGCAAAACCACAACAATCAACACCTGTGTTCAATCTTGCAAATCGAGAATTTCATTCCACTTCCAGGATGCTCTGCTCAGTCGATGCTTTCATCATGACGACCAAAACTTCATCCTTCCTTTCTTCCTTCCGTTTTTCTTCCTTTCTTTTTTCGCCTTTCTTTCTTTCTTCCTTCCTTCTTGAGCCTTGAGTTAAAATGTAGCTGACAGGGGAAACGAGTAAGCACGATGCCCAATTTCAGTCGGATCTCGGATGCGCATCGAGCCCATCGACCGAACGAACGAATGGCGGGGTGACAGCGAAGAGGATGCAATCGGGAGATCGAGCAAGCACCGAACTGAAGAGGAATCAGTCTGAGGCTAGGGCATAGAACTGCACCCGGCACTAACTCGAGTTTAGAGCCAGCCGTTAAAATCGAACACAGAAGGTATTTGAATCGACTTCGAATCCGAAGGCGCTCCCGAGAAAGAACGCTCCTGTTTTCGAACTTTGAACTTACGAATGCTCCAACGTTCACTAATCATGGCGATGGCGGAGGCCCTGCGGCACCGCCGAGTCGAGAACGGGCAAATAGGCGCGGCCTGCACCTCGAGGCATCGCACGTAACCAGGGTTGCAGGGGTTGCAGTTAGACGCGGGTTGCGCTCATCCGGGTCCGATTTGGGGCCAAATTTTCTGGTTAGATTAAAGCCCGATCCGGTCTTTCAGACTGTGACCCGAGGATTGGGCGAAATCGGCTCTCCGGTTCTTCATGCTCTTGACCGTGCTTCGAGACGGGGCTTCCGTTTCTCGGAGGAATCTCGAGGCAGGCAACGGCTGCTGCCCGGAGAGGGGGCGCCGGAGCGAGCGAGGCGCCGCGTCCTGCAATCCAACGCGCAGCGGGCCAGCGGGGAGGGAGGGAGGACCGAGGAACGGCAAGAGTCAATCGATGGCCATGGGCGATGATTGGACCTGCATGCGATTTGTTCTTGGGGTGGCACTTCTGCATGGCCATGGTGGCCTGTCCTCGGAGCTCGATTCCTTGCAGCGGGCGTGAAGTCAAGGAAGGGAATGAAGTGGAATGGTTCGGAGGATAAGGCAGATGCCGCGATGGCTTGCGGGGGGGAGGCAGGGTTAGGGCGAATCGGGAAATCTGCAATCGGAGCCCGCGTACTGTGCACAAATTATGAGAAACTGGAGAAATACAGCACCGGGAGAAGAGAAAGAACAAGGAGGGACGGAGGGAATAAAGATGCGGAGGTTGACAATGGAGGATCTTTAGGACAGGATTGAGGAATCCGTTTTGTCGACGCACCGAACTGGGCAACTGCGATACGGAATCTGGGAAGTGACAAAACCAGCGAGCATCAAATCGAGCATGCACTGACTACTCACGAGAAGAGGCTACAGCGTAGCGAACGCTGCAGGATTGAAGATGCTGCCTGCCTACTAGATGCACATTCACATTAAATACGCTCGCATACATTTTGGAGGAACAATTATTCTCTCGCAATCCTGACTTTTTCCGGAGAATCGGCTCGGCAGTACATATGCCTGCACGTCACTTGAGGAGGTCAAGCTGTACAGCTCATGTCGATTTGTCCGGCTCCGTTCTCACTCACGCGTAGCGCTCCGCGAGATCACTGCTTTGCTTTCCTGGGGACGAGTAGGGCCCAGTCGTGAAGGCATCGGGGACGATGAGGAGGAGGAGGAGGAGGAAGAGGAGCTCGGGGACGAGGAGGAGGAAGAGGAGGTCTATTAGGTGGAGAGATCGAGAGAATATTAAAAAAAGAAAACAGCAATGCTCGGAGAGGATCACGGACTCGGAGAAAGTTGTAGATGATGTCAAGGAAGCGGTTCCTATTGCCGACCAAATGCGGAATGATTCCCTCTCATTGTGCCATCATCGATATCGCCCCATTCCCAGTTGGGCATTTGGCAGCTTACGCGTCTGTGCAGCGCTGCTGAGTTCAAGCAAGTCGCGGAATCTGTTCTATTCTGTTCTGTTCTCTTCTGTTCTGACTTACTCCATGGCCATAGATCAAGATCCGGAGCGAGCCTCGATGCAGATGCTTCCCCGGTCGCTGCTTCAAATGCAGCTCGAGATCTTCCAAGATTCTTTCATGGAACCACTGTGCCTGGGGCAGACTCGGCTAGCTGCCATCTGTAAGGCGACTTGTGCTGTCGAGCTTCAGATGCTACTTTTGGAAGGAGTTCGTGCTGGGGCCACGTACCAGCAGCAGCGGCACCTGGGGATTCTTAAATGTCGGAATCGGCATGGGAAGAATGTTGCGAATCTTCTCGTCTCACTCAATCCTCTAATCATAGCCTTGTACGTGCATGACTTCAAGCACTTGGAATCTGAAAACTATCAGACCTGGAAGTACAGACGTGGTCGTCTGCTTTACTACAGCATGTCGTACCTTCATGTTTCGAGTCCGGACTCCGCGACCCAGTCGCCCGTATCCAGAATCTCAACCATCAGATGGACGTCGATGGAACGACCGCTCGAAGTCATCAAATGCACGCACGCAGGGAATCGTCAACGAGTTGTTTTACGTTAAGCAGACAGGACTTCCAACAAAACTTGCAGTGCAAGCCCGCACGAACGGGCTAGCGGGCGGGCGAGCGAGCTATCGATCGATCGATCGATCGACGACTTACCTGTCGACCCGTCTCCCATCTGCTGATGAACTACTAGGAGAAGAGAAGCCGACCCATCTGACTCGCACTGGAAGTCCGGAACAATGATGTGGAGGAAAGAGCTGTAGACGAAAGAACGTGGGTGCAAAATGCTACCGACGATGCATGTTTTGAGTAAAAAATGTACAACGGTGTATAGTGTCCAGATTTGTTGAATTAGTGTTTTCAGAATCAATTCAGAATCAATTAATTGCTACCGGTGCTGCTGATGTCGCCGCCGCCGCCTCCTGCTGTCTATCTGCCCGGCTCCCCTTCCATCTTTCCGCCCTCGTTTTTCCCTTCTGTCACAGAGTTTGTTTAAGGTGCGGATTGTCTAAAGAGGGCCAGGGCCAGCAACCTACGCTCTAAAATTATTCCTGCGACGAGAGAAACCACTTGTCGCTCTCGAGAAATTCTGTCTTCTCAGGGGGAATGGACTGCGCCACTCACCCTCTGCTAAAGCCGCTCAGCCATGGATGGATCAAGTTGCGAGTTTTCGGGGTCCAGGATATGGTGTGTGTTCAGAACTACTAGTGAATGATCGATCATGAAACAAAGGAAGACCCATATGAATGTGTGTGTACTGTACTACTCTAGCTAGAAGCCTCTGAAAGCCCGAGCGAGGGAGCTCAGCAGGACCAAGCCGATGCGGTGAGCAATTGGCGCTCTTGCCAGCCCAAGGAGACCGATCCTTCCGACCGCTCGTGGAGGCGGTAGCCTTCGCAAGGGCAAAATTGCAGGAGGAGACGGGCCTGGCTTATTGCGTAGGAGCTGAGAGGAATCTGGTAGAACCCAGCCATCTCCATTTTTTTGCGCCACAGGTCGACGGGCTCGTGGCGCTCGACGCGCTCGTCTCCCTCGCAGGCGACGATGTTTTTGATCTGCTGCGCGAAGAACAGCTGCTCGATCTTCACGCGCTCCTCGTTCTGCTGGGGCAGGGACGCGTCGAGCGAGTCGAACACGGCCGCGTAGTAGTGCAGCGCCTCCATGAACCGGCCCAGGAACGTGGCGGAGTTGTGGTTCGCCTCCTGCTCCACAATCGTCAGCACGCACGGATGCAAGTCGCGGCACAGCGAGCGCACGAAGGCGTGCAGCTTCTCGCCGGACGTCGGATTGAGCAGGCGGTGCAGCTGCAGGATGGAATTCACCGCCGTGGCCTCGCCGGCGCGAGGCGCGAAGGCCTCCGGCGCCAGGCACTCGAGCTTCTCCGCGACCAGGCACTGGAACTCGAACGACACGTCGAAGCTCTGCGCGAAGCTGGCGAGGCGGCGGCCGGTCTCGTGCAGAATGTCGCCGTGCTTGCCGACGCCGGTGATGCGCAGGTGCGGGGGGCCGCCGGGGCGCGAGGCCAGAGCCTGGATGAGCGAGGGCCACTGGAAGCCCTGCATGATGTCGAGGTCGACGACGTGCACGGCGGAGCGGCCCTCGACGGCCTCGAGGATGGCCTGGTTGGCGGTGAAGTGCGCGAACTGGAAGTAGGGCGCCACCTTGTAGAGCGTGGTGAAGGCCGACAGGTAGTCGCCGGTCGACGGGCGCAGCATGAGGCTCGAGTACATGGCCGAGTCGCGGCTGACGATGCGAGCCGCCAGGCCCTCGGCGAAGTACGCCGCCACGCGCTGCATGGAGTCCCCGTACAGCGAGGCGCCCTGGTACAGCTCGCCCAGAATGCCCGCCGCCAGCTCAGCGTTGTCCTTGGCCGCGGCGTCCGCGCACTTGAGCAGCAGGTTCACCAGCTGCAGCCCGTGCGCCTCCAGCCCCGTGTCCGAGTCCAGCATCAGCAGGCTGTGCTCGTTCAGCCTCGACGCGTCCAGCCCTCCCAGCGGATGCAGCGGCCCTCTGGTGCCGTTCTTCCCCTCGTGCCGCGGCCCCCCGCTCAAGCTCAAGCTCGGGCTCGGGCTCGGGCTCGACGACAGCGTCAGCCGCACCGCGGCCGCGTCCGCGAACGAGCGTATGCTCGTGCCCCCGGCGCCCGCGGGGCGCGCCTGCGCGGGCGCCAGGCGATCGGGGCACGACGACCCGTCGGTGACGAGCGAGAGCAGCGGGGCGCTGCGGAACGCCGGGTCGTCGAGGTCGTCGAGGGGCGCCTGCGCCTGCTGCTGCGCGTCGCTGCCCCGGGACGAGCTCGTCGTCGAGCTCTCGGAGAGCGTCGTCGAGTTGGGCAAGCTGAGGCTCAGCAGGTCGCGGTCGATCTTGCGGTCGAACGATTGGAATTGGTCCGTCTTCGCGAGCTTGTTGGGGCCGTCGCTGCTCTCGTGATCGAGCTCCTCGCCGCCGCCGCCGCTTCCTCCGCTGGCGGCCGGGTCGCTCTCCGAGCTCGTCGTGCAGCTGCGCAGCCAGTCGTCCGACTCCAGCATGCTGCAGAGGGACCTCTTTCTCCCGGGGGCCTGTGCTGCGGGCGACAGCGGCCCGCTGAGCAACGAGCCCAACTGCTGCCTGTCCCCTTGCGCTTGCGCCTGCGCCTGCGCCTCGTCGTCGTCCTCGTCGTCTTCGTCTTCTGCGCCGTGGTTCTCCTCCGAGCTCCTGGCCTCGAAGCCCGGGAGCAAGTCCTGAGACGAGCCCATGGCCACGGCGCTCGACCACGGATTCCAGACAGAAATGTCCGCCCGGGTCAATTTTCCGATGCTTTCTGATCGGATGCCATGAAGTATTTGGGCCGTCTGTAGCACCTCTACCATTTGCTCGCAATGTGCCACTTCCTCCTTGTGGGGCTCATTGATCTTGAAGAAAATTGTGTACTTGGGAAATTCTCGCTCCAACACTACGCCGTCCGCATGCTCAAGATCTTCTTGCTGCTGCTGGTGCTGCTGATGCTGGACGTCCCTAGATATGGCATCTAGTTCATTTGCGAAGGGCGGCATCGGCGGCTACCCTGCTCGCTCTCCCGCCCGCCCAACCGAACATACAACGACGAATTCACCGCACGAAGTGTCGCCAATTGACGGCTCGGACCTTCCGTCACGCGAGCCGGAGAGATGCGAGCTTGCACGCGCTTTAGCCAACGCTTCCACTTGGGCGTGCCAGTACAAAGATACAACTTCGGCTTCTGCAAATGAAGAATCTTCAGCACGTCCAGGCAAATCAGCTCGTGCAGGAAATGAAAGAAACACCCTGAGTGCAGTGGAGAAAATTGTACATGGTGCCGGTGGAGTCAAGTCTTCGGTTCCACGTCGACGCTGATGAAACTTTCTCAAAATTTGCCCCTGCCTTCTTTACGGCCACGACGTCCTCTGACAGTGAAATCTTTGCTGAAGAAGGCGGAGTAGGGATCGGTGTACAAGAATTCAGGTGATCGCTGGCACGAGAGAGAAGGAGAGAAAGAAAACGAGGGAGAGATGGAGGGAGGGACACCTGCTGGAGCGATCAAGCCGACGCTCAGAGCAATCGACCAACTCCGAGTCAGACAGTCAGTCAGTGAATCAGTCTAAGGCGAAATTGCAAGTGTAGATGGGTAGATCGACGTTTCGGCCTAACCCGTCGAGCCAAAAACCGTTAGCAGGTGCAGGTGCTGGTGCTTGTTCTGCTCATTGATCTAGAAGGGGAAATAATAGTGAACGGTCTGTTGATTTCCATGGAGGTGAATCGTGAGAGCTGGGACATGATGATAAGCCGAAGAGCTCCTCTCCTCTAATGTCTCCTCTCCTCTTCTATCCTCCGCTCTCTTGAGCAGCAAGCAGCAGCGAGAGTTCAGTCGCAGAGGATCTTCTTCCCTCGCCCGTGATGTCGACAAAATAAAAAGTCCAACGCGAATATGGGACTGGTGTTTCAGCTGGACGAATCAATGGTGGGGTTGCCCTGGCGGAGAAAGGGGGAGGAGGGCCGGGATCGAGTCGGAGAGCGACCGCAGCGAGGAGGGGACGAAGAAGTCGCAAACGTAGGACATACGAGGTACGAAAGAAGCTCAAGCCGCGCACGCCTCATAAGCAGCAGCAGCAGCAGAGGCGGAGGTTGAAGAAGAAGAAGAAGAAGAGCGACAGCAACAACAAAAAAGAAGTTGGATCGATGCCTCGCACCTCCGATTAAAGATAAACGAATAAAACAATTAGAGGAATAGCAATTCGATCTGATCGAGAACGTGGGCATCTATAACGGCCGTTCGTCCACCTGACCTTCAGGTACCCCCACTACCCATAACTGACGCGGTTAATTTCCCCACATCCCCGTCTCCTCTAACCGCAGCCCCTCGCCTCGCCTCGCCTCCCCTCCCCACCTCTTCACATTCCACTTCTCCGAACCAGTTGTACCCCCCTCGCAGTATGATCCCTCCCTTGCATGCATTCATGAAGAACACCGAATCGTCCACCGACCCACCCGTCCGCCAGCGAGCCAGGCAGACCGAGCCCTCACACACACACAGAAGAAACTTCAGTGAACGATCCGGTCGGTATGCTCAAGGCATCATCAATGGACGAATCAATCGAGTTCCAGCATATTATAATGCTCGCCCGGACCCGGTCCTAGCCCCGTTCCCCAAGCCGCAGAGTCCCGGACCCAGCTTCGCGTTTCCCTGTACCCGCAGCGCCCCGTGGACATGAATTTGGTTGCTGGATCGAGTGAAGGTAGAGAGGAAGGAACACAATGAGCACGAGTCGCAGCAGCAGTCGCCCATTCGCTGCTTCCAGGCCACTGTGGCCATCGTCCCATCCATCCATCAATCGACCCTCGCATCTTCCGACTCTTGTCATATTCTCTGAAAGACTCTCAATCTTCCCCGGCAAGGTCTGGGGCCTGTCGGCACTCGCGCCCAAAATTCCCCCCGCCCAACGTCTCACGCAGAAGTCCCTCACACTCGCCCTTCGTCCCCTTCCCCATCGCATGGCTCCATCCATCCATACACGCATACATACATCCACGCATCCATCCGGCCTTTCTTCTTCTTCCCATTATTCTCCCGGTTCGATCTTTTCTTGACGCTCGCGCAGATTCCCTTTCTTTCACCGGTTCTTCCGTCCCTTCTCGGCGCTCTGGTCCGGATCTCGCCGATCCGATTCACGCGCCCGGCATTCCAGGGCGGCACGCCTTTCCGTCCACGCGTCCCCTATTTGAAACGTGCTCTTTTGAAGCCCGGATGGATGCGGCCCCATCGGCATTCGTCGACCCAGTTCTCCCTGTACCGTGAGGGTGACTCTGCGGTCTGTTACGGAGTTGCCGGTGGTCACAAACGTAGTCGACTACGTTTGTGACCACCGAATACGCCGACGGCGAGTCAATCCGCTCCCGAAGCTCGAACACTCTTCCTCCTCTGGTTATTAAAAGAAGTAACCACAAATGACAGCGTCAATAAATGTCAAACAGAAGCTTTACGCAGTTTTCGGAGACAAAGTTACTGCATACATCGATGCCTCGGTGGCCGCAGACTTCTGTGTCCAGTGTGTCCGTCGGACATTCCGAGATCAGTTTTACTCACCGGGTCAAAATTGACTTGCTTGAAGTCGGTCTAGACTTCTCTGTCCGTCGGACATTCTGAGATCAATTTTACTCGCCGGGTCAAAATTGACTTGCTAGACCTCAATCTTCACATAAAACAAGGGATTTTCAAGCCGAAGGTCCATTCTTAAGCTAATTAATTCACTTTACCTTGTGACTTATTTCCAATCATTACTAGTGCACATGACAGATGGCAACCATAGCTATGCACGAATGCTTCATCTTGTTGTTTGTAGATTGCACTTTTCAATCGAACCATACAGTAATGACTTGATTGCAACTATGGTAGGAATTCGTTATTGTGCTTTTGACTTTACTCACATGGCCCAATTGAAACAGCCAGCGTAACAGCCGATTTATTCCAGCTTCATGCCGAAAGTTGGGCTTCGCCCGTCTAAATAATAAAAAAACCGATGGGGTTCATGTAAAGGGAAGAACTGGTTTTCAAGAAATTACATTCACCGTTTGTTTGTCTTCTTTCGTCCGGCTTATTCTTTTACTTTTGGATCTTCAGTTGTTTGTCAAATTGGAGCCACAATTTTTCCTACACACAGGGAAGAGAATCAAATGAGGTTAAGGATTCCATTTATTATCTTGGAAATAATTTTTTGTGTGATTTTCATTTTTTGAATTTTACTAGATGTTTGGATCCTTGAGATTGTAAAGAAATATGACTTAAATGCATTGCTATACCAGATATTTTATCTTGTGCAGAGTCGATGAATTCTATGTCTAAATCAAGTACATTTTCTTTAAAATTTAGTATTCAATATACTAGTGTAAAGCACAAAAAATATTTTTAGTATAGATAACATAACTATCCTTATATTTATAACATATTAATCATGAAAATTTGTAATCATAAGTTTTAAATTTGATGATTTCATCTTTATAAAAAATTAAATGTACACTATTATCTGTATTAAATTAACAAATATATCAAATAGATTTGATATATGAATAGGGATGTGTCAATCATTGCTGTCAATAAATGGGATGATTTTAATATGTAATTATGATTCGAAAAAATTAAATTTAATATTTCATTTAAATATATATAAAAATATATTAGAATTAAAACTTTTTACTTTATCATTAATGAATATGTAACTATAGTCAGGCAAAAATAATAATTTAAATTTTTTTAATAGTTTATTATCATATATATTCACGTTCATAATGTGGTTGCGTACGTGTGATTTCAATCATAAATTGATGTCAATCCATGATTGTAATTAAGCAAGAGTGATAAGTCAATGTTAGAATGACATCATCATTATTCGTTATTATATAATAATATAATTCATTGTGTAATGATCATATTCATATGACAAGGATTGTTCTAAACCTGTTCGACTTAGTCATGATGATAAGATTCGAATGATTATGACAACTCACTAAATCTACAATAAGATTTCATGATTTTATTTTGTTTTGTTGTACTTAACACGCATGTAATAGTACATTTTTTTAGAATAACCATAGCAACTTCATCGTAAAAATATGATCAATAGTTTTTGAAATGACAAAAGATTAAGAAGCATGTCAAAATAATAAAATATGCTTCAAATCAAGAGTAGTTTAAATAACGATTTTATAAAATTTTCTCTAATTTTTTAGATATTCCTCATTTCAAATTTAAAAACAATGATATATATTAAATTTTTTGAACATAAACTAATTAAAACAAGTTGGATTATAAAACTTGACCTATACAAAAATTCCTCATAAAAAAGTAAACAATGTAAAGGATTCAAGTTTTGATATTGGAATCAAAATTTTCCATCTGATTTTACATATACTTAATACTTCTAGATGATTATTATCTTTATATTATGAAGATATATGAATTGAATGCATTGCTATATCAAATATTTTATCTTGTTCAAAGTTGTTGAATATACTTTCAATTTGATAAATTAATTTTTTTAAATTTTTTTACTCAATATATTAATTAAAACACAAAAATATTGATGAAAAAATAATGTAACAACATTCATAATTGTAAAAAATAAATAACTAATTTTTGATTAATAATTCTTACATTTGATGAATACATTTTTATTTAAAATAAAATATAATCTATAATGAAGTATCTGAATATCAATTTTTTAAGAAAATTTTTAAAAATTATTATTACATATATGATATAAATTGTATAACATCAAATTATTCAAGATATAAATTTTCATATGGATGTGTGATCATTTTGATAATTATTTAATATAAAATTGATATGCACATATGTTTCAAGTAAATTTAAATTTAATACTAAGTTCAAAAAATTTATCTCAATGCAATAAATTTTTAATTTGACTATTTACGTATTCATATTATCAATCTTTAATATTCGTTAAAAAAAGTCATAATAGTACATTTTTTTATCATGAATATGCATGTTCATCATATGTTTGTCCACATATGATACAATCATCAATTGATAACAATCCATGATTGTGATTAAACATCTATGAGAAGACAATGATAGAATGACATCATCATTATTCGTTATTATTTAATAATTGTTTTATTGCATAGTTTTCTTATTCATGTGATGCGGACAATTCTAAACTGGTTTGACTTGTTCATAATGATAAACTTAGAATGATTATGACACCTCACTAAATCTACAATCATGATTTTATTCGAATTTGACTAACTTAACGCGCCTGTGACCTTACGCTTTTGTAATAAAAAACATCATGATGTCAATGTGAAAATATGATGAATATTTTTTTATATACTAGAAGCATAAAAATTACTAAAAAAATAAAAAATTTTATTATTGAAGAATTTTTATAATATTCATTCAAATATTTATACTTATTTTAAAAAAACACAATTAAAAATAATTTTATGAACTAATTTTTTCTATTAGCAAAATTAGTAATTTTGAAATCAACAAAAAAATCTCTTAAACACAATAACAAAAAATCTAGCAAAAGATTGATAATTTATATATTCAATCAAAATAATGTGAACTTTATATTTTTTTTATTCTTTGCAATTTATGAAAAAATATTTTATTTTAATTTATCTAAATAAATGTAATAAGTAGAATAAAATTTCATAACATTCTATTAAATTTTACATTTACCTTACATTAATCAATTGTATGAATATTTAATATTAAACTCTTTGGTGACGAGTAATAGTTGATATAAATGAAATGATTATTAACTATTAACATTATACAATCAATGAAATCATTTAATTCAATCGTTTTAATAACGTATCCATGGGTCCTAATCCTCACTAATGGGTATTAGTTATACCTTGAACGACTCTGGTGGTCACCACGAAGAAGCCGATGGAATAAAGAAGCTTCTGCGCTGAAATATTCAGCGCAAAAGTGGATTTTTGATTGTCTTGAAATGCGTGTTCAAAAAGAAGAGAAAGATGTGGCATGATTCCATTGTACTCTGCAGTTTAGGCAGTGTCATGTGCATTGTATGTATTAAAAATAGTATGCTTTATAAAATTTAAAATAAACACACAAAATATCCATTATTTTAATAGATTTATTAAATTATAATAAGAAAATTGAAATTTAAAAATTATAGACTAGTTTTAATTTTCAATATTTTTACTTTAATTTTTTTTAACTTATTCTATAAACGCAATAGAGCACAAGAAGCACTATATCTTTTGTCTATAATAAGATGTTTTTGTATGACATTCTTATTGTAATGAAGAATCTGACTCAGTGCACTTTAAAAAAAAAAATTAATATATTTTGTTGTTATTTATTTTAATACAGTTAAATAATCAAAAGTTATGAATAGTGAATTTTATTTATTTCATAAAAAATTTAATATAAAAAATTAAATTTTTGGCTTTCAAAAAATACAAAATTTCACAATAATTCATAAATCTATATGAATATTTTATTATCAATCAGTTAGAGAATTATTTTAATATTTTCATAAAAATTCTTATAAATAAGAAAAAAATAATTTATTTCAATAAATTATGTACTAAATATATGATAATATTATTAAATTCAATTTAATTTATTTTGTAGTTTATTAAAATTTTTAAACTTAGATTTTAGAATTTAAACTGATGTGTAAACTAGCATTTTGTACCATAAATTAAAAAAAATCTTTAAACTTTGTAAAAATATCATATATTTTCATAAAATGTATTTTCTTACATTTACATAATAGAAATAATGAAATAAAATTTAAATGTTATAAAAAAATTATGATATTTTAAAAAATCATATAAATATCTTCAAAAAATTGTCAAAATCAAAATCAAAACCTATTAATAAATTTTTATATGTTTTGAATCATTAAGAATATTTCACGAGATTTACATAATGAATCAAATGATAATATTTTAAATATTATCATTTGATACATAACAAAAT